ATGTGGGGCTTTGTGGCAAAGAAGATGATAAATCACCAGAAGCCAGCAGTAATTTCAGGTTTTCAGAGAAAGGATGACATCTCTACTTAATCCTCTCCCATAAATGCGGGGAGTCATTAATTATCCAGTACACGGGCCAGCGCTGGGTTAATCATTTCAAAGAATCCTGATTCTATTCACCCATGTGATGCATGATCTTAGTGCAGAAGACCATTAATGCCTGGGAGGAAGCCATTTTCTAGAATGTAGATGCCCTGTTTCCTGCAGCTGACTCCTCAAGCTGTATTTTTCTGTCCTTGAGCTATAGAACAGTCGCCAAGGAGTGACAGGGCCTTGTGGTCCTGAGGACTGAGCCAAGCACAAGACTGGCATTCTCTGTTCCTTCCCTCATAAGTGGGTCATCAAAATGTCAACACTTTAATCAGAATTTCAAAAACAGCTAAATTTCCACATATTGTTATTCACGTAAATGCGACAGAATTTTTTAGGGCTTCTCAAACATTAATGTATGTGGGAATCACCTGGGATCCCTGTTAAAACGGAGACTCTGATTCAGCAGGCTTGGGGTGGAGTCCAAGATCCTGGATTTCTAACAAGCTCCCAGAGAACGTGGATATTGCTGGTCCACAAACACCACTCTGAGAGGGGTTTAGAGAAGCAGTTCTCAGCAGAGAATGATTTTGTTCCTCAGAGCACATTCGGCAATGACTGGAGACATTTTAGGTCGTCACAACTGAGGGAGTAACACTGGCAATGTGGGCAGAGGCCAGGACGCTGCTAAAATCCTGCAATGCACCAGATAGGCCCCCATGACAGAGAACTGTCTGACCCCAAATATCAATGGTGCTGAGACTGAGAAACCTTGGTTTAAAAAAAGCAGCAGAGCTCATGAGATTCCTGTATCTTGCCATACTAATTCTTTCTATATCACTTCCTTGCTAGCTAACCTTAAACTGATACATAGTTCCTAATGACACTGCTAATCTTAATTTGTGTCGGCCTCTAAATAGCTTCGACTGCTTTCTTTTCCCCCAAACTATTGCTATATGGGTCCTTTAAATCCCATGTCTTTGTTCTCTATTTCTTTACCTCTGCTCACATCCCTTATTTCTAAATTCCACTCCGAGAACATAAGGCAGACAACTGGCTAGACTGGAAGAAAAGGAAAGGTGAATTTCAACGCCTCTCCCTTCTTGGGGCTTCAATCCCAGCCTCTATTCAGGTCAAACACAGGAGGTATGTGTCTTTACTGTTTACAGAGCGCTTGCCTCTCCCCTGGACATTTCCAGCTGAAGCTGAATATAAAATGACACGCACTCAGTACTTGTTTAATTCATTAGCATATATGCTAGACTGCTACAAAATATTTAGCAACTGTGTTATTTGACAAATCGACTCAACCATTCAGTGAATACCTATTGAGAATTTACTGTATGAATATGGGCTTATCTCTGGGAATACAAAAACAGACAACGACCCTGTCTTCATGGACTTAAGTCTAGTGGGGGAGGCAGACAACAAAGGGACAAATGAACAAGATCCTCAGAGTGTGAAATGTTACCAAAGAAGCAAACCAGCTGCTCTGATAGTGAACGACAGGGGTGAAGAGGGAGCATGCGGAGAAATGTGACTTACCTTCGAGGGGCAGGGACTCTCTGAGAAGCAGACATCTAAACTACGGAACTAAAGGATGAGAAAAAGGAAGAGCGGAAGGGGCTCTCCGGGCTGAGGGACCAGCCCTTGCAAAGGCCTTGAGGCAGAAACAGCTTGATGTGCTATAGGAACAAACAGTGCACGTGTGAGGTGTGAGCCGAAGCTCTGGGTTTTCTGGGTTAAGTACAGTGAGAAGCTACAGAAGGCTTTTCAAGAGGGAAGTGACCTATAAAATCTAGGTTTTAAGAAGATGATTATGGCTACTGTGTGGAGAGAGTCTGGTACCAGAGGAATCAGAGTATGAAGTATAAAGCATTCCTCACAGGGCGTACACAGCATGGACCTCAAACAC